AAGAAGAAGAAGAAGAAGAAGAAGAAGAAGAAGAAGAAGAAGAAGAAGAAGAAAAAGGAGAAGGAGAAGGAGAAGAATCATATTAATAATGATAATAATGACCCTTTCCTCCTCCCCCCACCCCCTACCAAAGACCCACACCACCACATCAAATGATGACGTAATTTCTCTTGGCCGTTTCTAGGATGTCAACGACGAAGGACCCATGTTCTCCCCGGCCAACTACAAGTTCACAGTGATGGAAGACACTCCAGTGGGATCATTTATTGGACAGGTTCGTCATAAATAACTGTCACTGTATAGTGCACATCCCTGGGACACGCCCAGTGGACAATGAGCCTTACGAACTTTGTAATATATAATATTTCGGTCAAGAGAAGATACATAGTGTAAGTGCAATACTCTTTTTTAATACATATTATTTCTTTCTCTACTGGAAATTTTGGCTTTCTTGGCTTAGAAGCTTGCTGATTTTATACTTCATTTGATTTTTGGCAGTTTCGTTCGCTCTCTCAACCTGGGTTGGTACAGACATGCAGGGTCAAAATCGGTCTCTCAAATTATAATCTAAATTGTGTCAACTGGGACATACCAAACAGCATTTACATATAAAATAACTGGTGTGGATTTCGCGAAAAAAACAACAAAATTTCTCTTCAGTGTTTGCCTCGGCGTAGAAACAGTAGCTAGCTTTAAAAGAATACATGTTTAAAAATAGATTCAGTGTAGTGCAGGTTACAGAAATGGATTCAGTATGAATATTCAAACGTATCAATTGCAAAAATATATTTTTATGTTTGTATTACCTCATAAAATTTGCGAAGTAGCCAAAATCCACTCCGGAATCGAAATAAGGTCTTCTGCGCCCGACAGCGCAACGCATAATATCTACACCAAAGACACCGGTACACTAGTTCCAAAAAGTTATTTTTGTTATTGTGTATGTACAAGCATAACGTTAAATGATGTGCTGATTTAATGCAATAGCTTTTACAGCAAGAACAACAACAAAACGCATACACACGCGCGCTGGCACACACACTCACGCACACACACACACACACACACACACACACACACACACACACACACACACAC